ATGAGAACACAAAGAAAAGAAAAAAAATAGATAATGGGGAAAAGAAATCACTGTTTTTGTTGATTTTGGTGAAAGTAAATATAGTCCTTTTTGGAGATTTGAAATAAAAATTTAAAATTTAAATTTGTAGTTAATTGAATGTAGTTTCGTAAAAAACTATTAAGTATTAACATATTTATATTTGTGTGTGACTGATAACTTGTAGGGCTCTTAAAAGTTTGATATATTAAACAAAGCATTTTATAAATTATAATTTATTTTTTTTGTATCAAATTATGGAGAAATAGTTTTATAAGTAATCTCGACAAAAAAGTGCATTTGAAAATATTTCAAAATTAGATACTTTTATTCCAAATATACTTGAGTTGAATTATAATATTGTTAGACCGAAAGAAAATGTAAAGACCTTATTGTAGAGTCATACCAAACTACGAAAACTCATAAGAATGTCTATGAATGTGTATTTTTTGTACTTATACTTTGTTAGGATGTACAATATTTGTTTTCTTAAAACAAATTGGCCCCCACTAATTTTATGAGCTACATCCACCCCTGGGCGGGCTAACAGTTTTGAGGCCAAATGCACAAATGTTAGATGACATTAGAAAACCTTCGAGGAAATTGCACTCTGTACAATCAGTTTGTTTTTTTATTACATAAATATAACAACTTGCTAACTATTAACATATTAACATAATCTAGTGATTTTATTTGCACAAATACCACATTAACTGACTTAATGGGTTTAATATCTCATCACATTTACTAGTACAAAGCCCGTGCGATGCACGGGGTGCATAATTTTAAGGCTATTTATCCAGGCTTATAATTATATACATGAATAAAGAAAAATGTACGGGATATATATAGTACGTGACCCGTGCGAAGCACGGGATATATTTATTATATTATATTATAAGATGCAATATTTAATAAAAGTTTATAATACGCAAGAAAATTGTACAATGAGTTTCCTTTCCTTGTAGCCAAATTGTGAATGTGATTTGAGGAGTACAACAAATCGATATATAGCTGACTTGCTTTTTTCATTGTAGTTTTTTCTTCTTTTTTTTTTTATAATGAATTTAAAGATATTCTAAAATATAGCAAAAATTAATTTTTTTTATTACAATTAGGAATTTTACTAAATATAAACTCTCAATCTATGGTGTTAATCAACGTTTAAGTCTAAAAAATTAGGAATTTTTACCTCTTTTAATCAACGTTTAAGTCTAAAAAATAATAGAGTTATTATAAGTTTTTTTCTACATCTTTTAAAACATTAAATATGAGCATGTTAGGCTAGCTTGTAAAATAATTAATATATTATCTCACTAAAA